ATAGGGTTGAAGTTAATGTGCTTGCTGTAATATTAGAGGCGTTATGTGTATGATCAGAATCTCTCAGTAGGCAAGTTGGCAGTATGAAATTTATATCTTTTGTGAAAGTTGATACTAGTTCAAGATTTGTTTTTCTCGTACAAATAATTTAAGAGATCAACTGTAGGTGATTAGCGTACTGTTCCACGAGATTATGTGACAGTAGTGATGCTTATGTTCTTGATCTAATTCGTGTGGTTGTAATGTAAATCGCAAACAGAAAAATCTAATATTTTCTAGATTAAGTAACATGAGAAAAAAATGGTAGGATATTGATTTTATTGACGTGTCAATAGAATTAGTAGGAAAGATAAGAAATAAGTCATTTTATATACGATTCACAGACTAGTCCCTAGCAGTATAGTCTTGTAAGAGTATGAGTTTATGATTCTGGTTTCAAAGAAAAGAAAACTTTTAACAGTTTTCTGTCACTCATCTTTAAACAACGTCCGTTTCAGTGAATAAGCTTGAATGAAAATTTATTTATTGCTAAGTTTAAGTCATAAAATCATACAACATGCATCCAAAGAGCCAACATAACTTGGACACATGTAGTTTTAAAAAAATCATAGTTATCATTACTGTTGAAATGTAATTAAGTTTCCGCTTGACAGAGAAATTTAAATTATATCAACTCATAGAAGAAAAATTACAATTTTAAAATAGAAGTTTGTCTGAGTAAGCTTACTATGTTTCCGCTATCAAATATAATCTTTCTTGAGCGGAAGTAATTTTTCCATCGAAGCACCATATAATATCACCGGCTCACTTTGTACGAGTAAAAAATTAGAAAGGAACAACGTGGTATTTGATTCATTCTATTCTTCGAACACGATCTTTTTCAACGCTAATTTTACAAAAGTATCTATATTTTTTCTATATCTCAAAGTAAAATTGTTTAATACGCTTCTAATACAAATAAATCATGTTTTAAGATTTCATGGCTGGATAAAATGAGTCTGATCTAAAACAAAAAAAAAAGCAATCATTTTATAACCTTTGCTAACAGAATAATATCTTCGCTTTTGACAAGACCTAATTATCAATTGTATGTTTAATATTTTTCTCAAACACAAATATCAAATATGGAGTTATTATTTAATTGGTCGCTAAAGTTCAAAAACATATTTCAACTCATTTTCAACAGAGGACTTGAGTCAAACTAATTTCTTCGTTTTGAACAAATCTCCTTGAACATTTACTCTCAAAATGTCAGATCGAAATGAACTTTTCTAGACGGTAGTCTGAATAAGCATTTAGTAGAGAAGATCTTGAATATTGGGCACTTACATTTATAACAGTATTAATCATTTTGTCAGCTTGATAACTATGGAGATATGTTAAGATTAGAAATATTTTCTTTTACTTTCACAAAAACAAAAATTAAGTGAGTTTTCGCATTCAAAACTCACGGAATAAACAATAAAGTATTCATTATCTAGTAACTCGAGAAGTGGAAAAATTCATGATGCAACAAAGAATTAATATGAAAATGAACTTCTACGTTTTGAATAGCATAGAAATTCTTGATATAGAATATATGATCTATTGAATATACACACACACTACCATAGAAATTTTTCAGGGAAAAGATCATTATGATCTTTGACAAATCATACGTTTGAAATATAAATTTCTTAATATAAATATATAAGGTATGAGCAAAGTCGATGCATTTCATTCATGATAGAGTTTGTATGACTTGGAATAAGAAAGTGATTCTTGAAAAAGAAACTTCAACATGACAGAATATAATAGAGTCGCGCGTTATTGAACATATTTACAATAAAGTCTCTCATGTATACCTGATAGTGATTTAAGCCTTACCTGGCAGTACTTACAATGTTAGAAATAAATCTTTCTGATTCAGAAATGAAAATGGCTAGCTTGCAAATGATGATGAGACACGCATTCATGATGACACGCATGATACAAATTTGGTCGATATATTCGTATTGACTCTTACCTTGTTAGCTTGTTCGTTTGATTTTTAACAAAGAAAAAAGTTGCATAGAAAACATGTACAGAAATGAATGACATATCTTTCGTTGAAATGTTACAATTCTTTATAATGAAAAATTCTACCGCACCTGTTATCAGAAATCGTATCATTGCACAGATTTCAATAGCGTTGAGGATCTGGAGAATTATTTTCTTCTGCATGACTCAGTAAAAATAAAAACGAAAACTGATTCTCTTTTACTACTCTGTCCGCACTGATTAGTTTGTTCTTGTGTGATGCAGAACGTAACATCCATCTTGCGTCCTTTTTATCTTTAATCTCAAGTCAGACGAATCTAAGAAATCATATATCTATCACTACTTATGAAACACTATTACGACTTAGAAATTTCTATTGATAGCTTCAAGTTCACTAGCGTAGTACTGCTCAGAAGCTGTTCAGAAAATTTTGTATCATTTTTATTAAATATTAAAGATTTTTTTAATTCAATTATAAACCGCATAAAAGTTTTTTTTTCTATCGTTTCAAAGTGGACACATGATCATATTCAGCTCCCGATTACCTCTGCTTATTCTCATTTGGTATTTGTTAGTACCCTCGAAGCCTCAGGATATTTCTATTGGTTGGTAATCCGTAATAATCTTGTCCAGTTCGAGGCTCGAGTCTTCTCCAATCGATGAACAAGCTCTTCTAGTGTCTGAAATCAGCACTGATTCGATGACCGAATGCACTCAAAAATGCCATTCAAATGTACTTTGCCGTATATTCAACTTCTATCCTCAGTCAAACCATTGGCGTATGTTTGAGGATGATATGGCTAGTATGAGCTCTATTGTCGCTTCGTCATCTCCTGAGTCGCAAGTCGGATCAATTCGATTGTATTCCGGGCATTTCGCCAACCAAGGACGTCCCTATTCGTTTTGCGAAGGTAACCGATATCTCACAATGTGTCAATTCAGTTTGCAACTGCCAACCTGATACCATTTTTGATGGGTCAATATGTCGTAGTCAAAAGCTAATTGGAGCCAATTGCATCAATGAAACAGAATGTTGAACCGATCTCAATTATATTTGTCTTCCTCGCATGCAATGTAATCGTAAGTAGTACTGTTTCATGTGCTCAAGCACGAACAATTGAACTTGCAAATCTTAAAAAGACTAGACAAAATCAAAACTGATGTTGCGAATGATGAGAATTGTTGGGAAGAAAAATATCTACTCCGAGTATGAGATCAATGTTCGGCCAGTGAGATCACATACTGTCTCTGTTAATTAAATATAAAACAAGTAATTTACTAGTGACTTTGGTAATTTATGTAAAGAAAATGTTAACTGAATCAACATTCTCACTAATATATTTCTCTAGAACGATTGTTATATAATGCTCATATTTTAGTCGAACGAATAATGAATCATACGACCTATGTCAGGTAGATAATAGAAAAAATTTCCTTCCTTGTTTGAATAAAATGAGACTAGATCTTTCAAGATTTCATTCGACGAATTTTCTAATTATGATAACAAACCCAATGATTAGCCTAGATTTAGTCAGAAAAGAAAAAGAAGTTCGAGAGTTTTGAGATTGATATGGAACTCTGACAAAAACGTTGAATCTTTGAGAGTATTTGTTCTCTTACGAACACTTTAACGACATGTACGTATTTTTCTACATAAATGTTTTTTCAACTAAATACAACATGTATTTTGTGATATTGAAAGACTTAATGTTATACAGCATCTGAAACATGCTCATCATTGTACATCTCAATGAAGACACTTTCTTTTTTGCAACACTCTCCCTGCAGAGCGGAGTTCCTGTTGGTGGTTACAGAAACGGGACAGCAGGAAATGTCAATAATGCTCTCCGAAATCCATGGAGATAAGTGGTACTTGCTGATGACTCGTTCTTTGTTAGTGATTTCAATAATCATAGGGTGATGAAACTTCGAGAAGGATCCTTGATAGGATTCATCGTCGCTGGTACGGGAGTGTCAGGTAACAGCGCCACTCAACTCAACAGTCCATCCGAATTACGTATCGATGCGTCATTAATTATGTACATAAACGATGATTATAACTCTAGAATAATGTTATGGTGTCATAACTCTTCGAGTGGGTGTGGGTGTGAATAAAGGGAAGAGTAACATCCACATCCACATCCACATCCCTCACCCTCACCTACACCCACACTCCACACCCACACCTCACACCCACACCCACCTCACACCCATCCCACACCCACCCACACCCTGTCTAGGTCAACACTTTACATTTGACTTCGTAATTGTCTAGCTAGAAAGCTTCAAACCATGAAAAGAACTTGGAAGTAATATTATAATCATCATTTCTGACAGCCCATTCTGCTCAGCCTCGACCGTCTCGCAACGGAAACGAAGAAATCCGAATATTGTATTTCTACGGTCATCTTCTCACCATTTAACTGGTTACTCCAAATGAGCCGCGACCCTACACGATTCATTTGGACTTACATAGACAGTTTGGTACATATTGTAAGATATTACATGAATTATAGGGTCCTTACATAAGTAAATTCCTTAAGGAAAAGCGATCAAACAAGTTCAGTAGGTGTTCACGTAATGCAATGGGTATTTGCAATATTTATTCGATTTGAACTTGTTGATGAACAAGAGAAAATAGATTAGTATTAATGTGTTTAGAATAACGTTGATGATTATGAATGGTTAACATAGAAACAATAGTAATCAATAGTAAATCATTGACTGTAAAATTGTCTTTTATTTATGCGATAAGATAAAGACCAAAGTTCACCGAAGCTAATATATTACCATCAGATGTATCTTCGAAAAATATCCTAGACGATATCTCAGATTTAATTACAGCTATAGATAATCAAAGATCGGCGCCAATATAAATCACCTATATGATAACGAACAATGAATCTTCACTTTTCTCATTATTGCTACGTAAATCAATAATTGATCCTCGTACAATACTTAAAACTTGTCATAAAAACTGTATGTATCAAACAAAAAATGAAATAACAGAAAAATCTTTCAATGAAGTATCTACACAATGTCAAAATTCAATAAATACATTTACAGATGAACAAACACAAGTTTCACAATCAAATGAATCTAAAGATACTCAAACTTGTTATATTTATTCACCAGCTCTTACTAAAAGCCATCAATCAATGATTTCATCTAAACGTAAACATCAAATGCCAACAAAGAAATACATGTTTATTAATCCATATGCAATTATTGATCGAGTTAATCAAGGTGAACAATTTCTTAAATTTCTCTATAAACAAAATCGAAAACTTGATTTAATCTATACAAATTTTATAAAACATCTTCAGAAATATACGGATAATTTTCTTCTTTCTCTTCAACAAGAACATTGTTTATATGGAATCTATCGACGAGATATGATTCGGTAAAAAATAATAACCTACAATACAATATTACGTTCAATAATAATTTCATTTAGATATATGATAATATTACAAGAACATATAAATGAACTACGAACTAGATTAAATGTTCTCCAAGAAGCAAATAAAAATTTTGCTTTATTTCAAAAACATTTTCATAAAATTATACAAAGTAAATATGATTTGGAAAGTTTATTAAACAAACACGATAAATATATAAAGCACAACTTTGATCGAAACGAACCAGGTATGCAAATAGAACTTTTAAAGTTAATTCATTTTCCATAAGATAGCATCAAAATTACAACATAGCACACGGTTATTGTTTGACGACCTATAAAGAGAAATGTCTCCCTTTTCGAAAACTCTCAACACCATGTTGACCAAAAATTCGAAAATTTCCATGGCAAATGAATCTCAGTGATTATAACAAAAGTCATGTTAGACTCACCGTTCTTAGATCATCCTTCCTCGAAAGTGTAGAGGACTTAATAATTAAAAATGACCTAAAGTTTTTCTCTCTATTCTCCATATTACTGCAGCCGACAGCGATCTATTTTTTTCTGATATCTGAAAAACTTCATCAGTATACTATTTGTCAACGAAACGAGAAAGGTGCATTTTAATTTGTTTGAAAATGTCGCAGAAAATATTTCTGCTCTATTGGTTGTAGTGCGTGAACGAAAAAGTGAAGAAAACTTCGAAATTTTAATGGGAAAATTGGTTTCCAGAAAAGTGAAAAGCAAATTAAAATTTTTCTAGTTTTCTATATGCGTTTAATAAAGGTAGAGTTACTTTTAGAGCAACTCTAATAAAATCATTTACTTTAACAAATCGTCCGCAAGGATTCAAACCATAATGGGAATTAGACTGATCAGTTTTCACTGTTCTTTTTATTGACTTTTAGGGTATTAAAACCGGTCTATTTTGCTCATTTTTAATGATTTTCATGGCTTTATCAATCGAGAGATATGAACCTGAAAGTTTTCCACCAATAAGTTTCTAGGTGTTGTCAAAGTCCCAGCTTGAAAATATTTAACGATCACTTTTTCATCATGTGATGAGAGTCTTGGCTAGTGCTGAATGAATTTATTACGGTTTTTCTGGACTACGTTTAGCTAAATCTCATAAAATTCTAATAGATAACAGTTTTTAGTTTATTCTTTCATTAGAAAATATCACAAAAGATTCTTTTTGAAGTCTAATATCAAAATTGTATATTTTAGTTCATTTAATCTTAGTGTTGGTAATAGGATCTTTTTACGAATTGAGATGCCTTTCAGCTATGTCAAATAATTATTTCAAATAAAAATAGTCTTATTAGTTGCTGCGAATTACTAGATATTCAGAGAACTCAAGTAATTGGCATAATAAACGGAACAATTTTTTCGTTTATCAAATATAAAATAGACGGGATCTCTACATCAGTTGAACTCAAGAAATAAAGATCGTGTCTTGTATAAATCAGAAGAATTTCGTTTGGTAAAACGGAAATTATAAGGAGTGTTTAATAGATTAGACTTAACATAGATTTGCATGTCCCATTTCGCTCTTCTGGATGGTGAGAATCTATAGGTCATTAGTCTTAGAAAATTCTAATTATTCTTTATATAAGAAGCAAATCAATGATTTCGTGACTTTCAAAAAGATTAAATGTTTTGAGCTATAAATTTAATTGAAAAATCTTGTTATTGATCATTAAAATTGATTAATAAATACTTCTCAATCTAGCTAAATATCAAGAACAATTCTGTAAAATCTATCAAACAAGTTATATTCAATTGCAAACAATTGAACAACAACGTCTTCTCGCTATTCGTGAACAAATGCGATTTGCTATGAATTTAACGATGATTTCAACAAGTATGAAGGAAAATAATACAATATCTATCTAATTTTTATCTATAAATCATATAAAAATGTTGACTATTTATTTTAGACGATCATAATTTATTTGCTTCAAATGATTTTGATGATTTATTAAATACTTGGAATCATCAACATATTGTTTCTATAGATCATTGGGTACATTTTTCTCGTCGATCTACAATATCTCAGCAAGATACTTCGTTCATTTTACTCAATGAAATCAAACAAGTGGTTAATGAATATTACAATCATCGACAAAATATGTCCAATAATAAACATTTGACATTAAGTCGTATATCTGATCAATTAAATACAATGGATGATGCAAATGATGAGTTTCTTAAACGAATAGATTCAATTACATCAAATATAAGATATACTCATATTTAAATAAATACAAAAAAACTTGCGTGCTAATATAAAATATATTTTTTAATTGACATATTCGTTCAATAAATATCTCATGTCAGCATTCTATCTTGAATTCAAATATTAAACTTCAAATTGATAAAACTTTTTTATTTATTTTAAGTAATAAATTAATGAAAAAATTATAAATGACTTTCTTTCTTCAACACAAATCAGAAAAAGTTGAAAAACATTCAGAACAAAATATTCTTCTCACCATCTCATCGAACATCTGCTTGAAAAAGAATAAATCAAAAAAAAAATCTGATAATTCCCATATTTTTGACTACAATTTTACGAGTAAAATATACAATCAACTCTCGTTGAAATGTTTACTACTAATGCTATTTAACTTACAGTTCTTTTTACAAGTAAATAATTGCCCAATGAAGAGGACCTGAACTGTTTAAGGTTCAGCCTTGACTGCAATCACTTTCAATTAAGTAATAAAATGGAATGACAGTAAGTGAAAAGTAAAGATTACCGAGTTAGTCATGAGAGGTTTAACCAAAGTTCACTTTTGGCGCATACTTAATCTTGATGATTTAATTCTTTTTTTTTTTCTTCAAAAACTTTTCACATAATACTTCTAATATTGAACTCAATCATACATTCGACTATTAAGACAAATATTAAGATTCAAATTAAAAATTTCATCATAACATACTTTGTTTTATTAAATGAATTTGTAAAACCGTTGAACATATTTTCTAAAATCTAGTATTTCTATAGAGGTATACAAGAAATGCTTATTTCCAAGTTTATCAAATAGATTCAATTGTAATAAAATTTTTTGTCTGCAGGTAAAATTTAGTTGAAAATATCATCTAACTTTGATCAGTTATTCATGCACTCTGTTGTTATTTACAGAAGAATTTTTCTATCTTCTTATATATCAAAATCTGATGCCATAATAGTAAAAAAACATATGTTAGTTCTATTCTAATTGTTCATATGACATTTTGTAATAGAGAATAGCTCTTATATATTTCGAATATCTAAAAGATTGATTTTTGCTATCATTTAATGTTAAAAACTGTCGTATAATCGATTTCTTCGTTTCTCGTCTAAACTTTGAAATTAAGCACAATTAGCGAAAGCAATCTGTACTTTTCGTGCATAAGACTAATTATCGTTTTTATCACGAGTCTTTTTTAATGATTCTTTTCTGACTAGCAGATGTACGATTACTATTCTAGTTTCTGTCACGCGAGTGTAAACAATTCATGTGAAAACAATCGGCTTACTGTTGAATGAAAGTCTATGAACCGGAAATAAACCCTTTAGAAAAAAGAAGAAGAGAAAATTATAATGTGTCTATTACTTCAAAATTTAGGTCAAAGTCAATACAGGATGGTCCAAAATAAAGAAACACAGAATTTATTGATTTTCCTCTTCGTCAATAATCAATTATATCTCATATTAACACTACATATACTAGATGATACTAGTAACAAAAATCTGATTTAACTGTATTTCATACTGATTCAACATAAAAGAGATCAAAATGCGATTAAATTAAATTCATTTCACAGATCAGGATAAGCAAATAAAATTATGAAAATCAAATAGAGCTCGGAAAACATCGAATTTCTCATACAGTTACAGACGAGCAGTAAGATATATTTGCAAGCTTTCCAACAAATTATTGCACCTAATGACTGATCAATGGTGCTCATATGACACTATTACAGGAGAAGAAACATGGATTGATCATCGTAGCATTAATTCTAAAATAGTCTAATACGACATGCTGTTCTGGATATCCAAAATCAGCAATAATAGTCAAGCAATGCCAATAATGACAGGTTTGCCTTCTTCTATAGAACAACAAAAGCGAAGTTTATGCGCATGGTTGAATCCAACAGTACAATATTTAGTTGCTAATATAAAAGAGAAACATTTGTTCAAAACTTCGGTTTAATAATATCAGAAAAGTAAGATCAAAGTCTAATTTGCACGCCCTAAAACTACATCATGAGAATGTCTGATCTTACAAAACGAAAGATATTAATATATTCATCCAGGACCAAGGCATGTTGTGTGACACCTCATCCATTTGATTCCCATGACTTGGCATTATACAATTTCTGGCTGTGTCGTGATTTGTAACAGCAGCCGTTGTAATTCAGTGGTCATGTTATTAGGCATATATCCAATCAATATTGTATGTAAACCTTGGTACTACCAGTCACAGAATGACACTATAAGTTACTTACTACTGTTTGTCTCGAACCACACGTCCGATACCATGATGACCAAGTTGTAACCTACATCTGCCGTCGTGACTTGATTATGATTAGTCAGTTTATATGAAGAACTTCAATGATTGAATGCAAAAAAAACTCCCAAGTCATGCTGGCCTCCAGTTAAGAACCCCATCTAGTGTTAGTTGTAGAGATATGAAAGTATTGAATTTACTGCTAGGTAGCATCTCATACCGCAAGGTAGTCGCAAGTCAAGAGTATTCTTTCTACTGGTAATGGCAACTAGGCAATTATTCTCATTCCAAATCTTTTCAACCAAGTTGTAACCAAGGAGCTTCGTGCCGTACCATATGACAAGTTTTAAAAGATATTTCTCAAATAGGTTGTTCGAATGAAAATTTGTATAAAAAATAAGGGCTAGTACTTTGAAGATTTAATGAAATAAGGTTTTAGAAAATTAATATGTACTATAATTTAATTAAGAAAGTGAACATTGATTATTGAATGAAAACTTGTATTTTTAAGATAAATGATTATTTGTAGTTAATAATTGATATTCATGATTACTCTTAATTATTTATTTTAATTTGAGCAAATGGTAAGACAAAGTCGATTCATAGAAGATAAATTTAGATAGAAAATATTTTTAAACAGTACTGAACTTTATGTGCAGTATATTGAAATCGATTAGATAATGTCAGAATAAATTACATGATAACAAAACAAGAGAGAAATTTGTTGGTTTTTATCTCTATACATATAGAATAATATTCAAAGAATTCTCTATTTAACTACACAATTCATTATACAATCTATTTCAATAAAAACAATGATTTGTTTTTTGCTTTAATATGACAAAAAGAAAAACCTGAATATGAAAATAAATGAAACAAATATTGTCTAGAAAATTCTTTACATGACTAAATTATCATGTCATAACAAATATTTAAACTTCTGTTATATTTGATAAACTACTTGGTGAATCTTTTCGACGAATTACAGATACTGTTGTTTTTAATGGTTTCTTATTTATAGATTTATCTCGATTATTTTCACCGTTTTGTGATGATGATGTTGGACTAATTTGTCGTTCATGTGTTTTTTTCATTTTTTCATCTATATTTTTAACTTGTCGTGGAAATTGAAAAGCTGGTTGGCTTGGTAAACGTTTAAATTTACCATTTATAGGAATTATTTGTGGTGTAAGAATAGCAGCAGTTGAAACTTTTTCTTCTAATGGTCGTTGAGGTGGTGTTCCATAAACATAACGATATGGACGTTTTTTCTGTTGTTTTTTTAATTGAATTTGACGCCATGCTTGCATATGTTGTGCATGACTCATTTGTGTATGTAATGTTGTATAATTGTTCACTAATGCATCAGTTGACGATTGACCAGAGTCAGGTAAACCTTGAAAGAGTGGTGTATTATTAAACGTATTTATTCCAATAGGTGTTGCCCCCTGTGATTTTTGCCGTTGATACAGTGGTCGAGTGGATTTTGGTTCATCAGTAGTAACTGATGGTGATTGAATGACGATATTTGGTGGTTGTCGAGAACCCAATTTTCTTGAAACTCCACCTTGTTGGCCAGTTGTTGGTGGCATTGGATAAACATTTGCAGACTGAGGAACATTGGGTTGTTGAACATTTACATCATATAACATACATGAACGAATAGCAATATATCGTTCAGCTGGACTTTGAGGAAATTCATCGATAATAGGTAAAGGTGTAGGTACAGAAAGTAGACGATGAGCATCTCTTTGAGGTTGTTGTTCGGGTAGTGCGCCTCGTTTTCGTAATGATACTTTAGGTCTGAAAAGGAAATAGAATATTTAACAATGATTTTTTTTCACTGAGAAAATAGATAAACATACTTCATTTCTCCTCCTCTCATCACAATAGATTGAGGAATTTCATCAAGTTCAACTGGCTCTTCAACACGAGCAGCAGCAGTAACAACAGCAGCTACTACTGCAGCATGTTGTTGCTCATCGATTAAATTACTTCGTTGAATACGTAATAGAGCAAGACGACTTTCGGCTTGTTTTCTTAGATCAAATAAATGATAATTATTAATAATTGTATATGCAAGATGCCAACGAAAACGTGCTTGTTTTCGTTTTAGATTTTTTAAAATTTCACCTGCTTCAGTTGGTTTGACTAAATGACTAATAAATGGATAAGCTGTAGAAACATTAGGTATAGGCTTTCGTTTTTTTCTTGAGGATTTATCTTGTGTCTCTTCTTCATGTTCTTGTTTTTCTTCTTCTTCTTCTTCTTCGTCTTCTTCTTGGTCATCTTCCTCTTCTTCCACCTCCTCCTCCGCTTCTTCTTCTGTTTCTTTTTCTTCATCTTCTTGCTCAGATTCAACATTCGATTCTTCTGTTTGTTGTTCTTTTAGTGTGTATTCTGATGAATGTTTACTTGGTTGTTTTATTGAATAATTTGACGATGATTTAGTAGATCCTGTATGTGAATAAGAACGATTAATAAAACCTGATTGTGCGGTATCAGTCGTTATTTCTGAATAATGACTACTATCTTCATTCGTATTACTTTGACTACGTGATGATGAGCCTACTAATCGTCGTTGTGCTATTGGTGGTGTCGCACTTTGTTGAGCTTCACGATAGGATATTGTTCGTAGAAGAGGTATATCATTGGAATATGATGTTTGATTATATGATGGTGCAGAATAGATGACATTTGCTCGAGTTGCACGTTCTTCATCAGTTGGTATTGTATCATAATGACTTTCTTCTGTAATTCTTCCAAAACCAGTAGAAACTTTTGGTACTATTCGACCTACTGTATCATATGATGCTAGTAATCGTTGTTGTTGTTGTTGTGATTGTTGTTGATGTCGAGATCCTAACATACTTCCATCATCAGCAGCTTCTGGTGATGCTTGCTTTTTTCTTTGATTATCGAGTACAGGTTTTTTAGTTGGTATTATTGTTCGAACTGTATCGTAAGTTTTAACAATACGTCCACCATCATCATCAAAATTATCATCTTTTGAAATATCTGATTTGGAAATTTTTTTAGTTGTTGTTTTCTTTTTAATAGGTTGTTGTCGTTTAGGAGCACCATCATCATCTTCATCATTATCTTTATCGGCTAATGCTTTTCTTTGTGCTTCCTTTTTTTTCTTAGCTTCTATGGCTTGTTTCTTTTTCTCAGCTGCTATTTGTTTTTGTTTTGCTACACCACCATCGTCATCTTCATCATCATCAAAATATTTAGGTTTTACAACTTTTTTCTTTGGTTTTACTTTAGTACTAGTTTTAGTTCTTGATATGCCTCCATCATCATCATCATCATCACGAGAAATTAATTGTTTTTTCTTTTTTGCTTCTTCTTTTTTCTTCTTTGCTTCTTCTTTTTTCCTTTTCTTTTCTTCTAATTCTCGTTTTTGTTTAGCAATTATTTGTGGATTAATACCACCATCATCATTATCATCATCATCATCATCATCATCAATTATATCTTCTCGCTTTGGTACACGCGGTGGAGATTTTCCTTGTAACGGCATCAGACGTGGTGCTTGTTTTGGAATTACTTTTGATATTGTAGATATTGATGGTGGTTTAATACCACCATCATCATCGAAATAATCTTCAGTATCATCTTCTCGTTTTGGTACACGTGGTGGAGATGTTCGTTGTAACGGCATTAGACGCGGTGCTTGTTTTGGAATTACTTTTGATATTGTAGATATTGATGGTGGTTTAATACCACCATCATCATCGAAATTATCTTCAGTATCATCTTCTCGTTTTGGTACGCGTGGTGGAGATGTACGATGTAATGGCAATAAACGTGGTGCTTGTTTAGGAATTACTTCTGATATAGTAGATATTGATGGTGGTTTAATACCTCCATCATCATCAAAATTATTTTCATTTTCTTGCTCTTCAACTGGAAGATCTTCACGTATAGGTACATCAGGAAAAGGTGCAGATGGTAATGGTAGACGAGGTTGTTTTTCCGGAATAATTCGAGTTATTGTTGAGATAGTTGGTGTATGAGAAGCATCATCATGATCTTCTTCTTTTTGTATATCATCTTTGCTACTTGACTTGCGTGTTTTCGATTTTTGACTACTTTTATCTGAAACCTAATTTTAAAAAAAAGCGGAAAAACTACTAGAATTTGAATATTGTTCTTACTGATGATGGACTTGGAGATTTAGTTTTAGGTTTTACTTCTCTTATTGAACTACCACGTTGATCATTATCATCAGTCGTAGAAATTGTACTTTGTTTTTTTTTTATCGATTTGTTTGATGATACACTTTCTTGTCTTTGGAATTTTGCTTTCTTCGATGTTGATCCATTTATATTCTGCTTCGTTGTTTTTGGTGATGTATCTTTTATAATCTTTATATTTTGTTCTATAGTTGAATCGTCATCATCGAGTTCACCTGGAGCAATACAACATTCATCATCATAACAATGTTTTGGTCGTCGTTTAACAACATCATCATATAATGAATAACAGAAAGCTAAGATAAATAAAAGATATTTAATAAAAAACAGACTTCAATCGAATGGTATATATAAAATTGTATTTTCATCAAGTTTTACAGATTTTAAGAAAACGTATACCTGTAAAAGGGATATTATAACAAATAGGAAGGATATGATAAAATATTAGGTATTTGAATTCTTATCTAATGTTAATATAATAGAGTTTTATTTTGGTTTCAATCGTGTATATCTAATATTTGACTCTCTTGAAATTCAAAATCTTGACATTTTCCATAGTTTCTGTAACTTTTAGCTTTTATGATATTTTAAATTTTTCGATAGTTAGGACAAAGGTAACTAATCATGTAATATTCTGAACGATTGTGTAATACAAAGCTCTATAAATATACATACTGATCGAAGTCTGTCATAGTCAAATCATCCAAACAATATATCAAGAAAAACAATTATTCTATTGCAATGAATAGAAAAGTAATATATCATTTTTTCCATAAAAATTTGTATTTATAAATAATAAGCTCCTTGTATCCCATTTCGGACACCTGAAGAGAGGTATGCAGACGTGCAACGTGCTTAACTCTCATAGGAGAATGAACGTGTATTGAATCTGACAGAGCTTCATACTCTAATCATACTTGGTGATTCAGAATCAAAATTCGCTAAGGAAGAAAATAAAATTAAAAAAAAAACTTATCTTTGTAATTAGACAAAAAATTTTTCGTAAAACTAATATATTTCTCTGGCTCTGTTGGTTGCTTTTGTCCTAACTATAGAAAAAATTAAAACATTATAAAATTTAAATATTAGATACACACGATCGAAGCTATGATAAAACTCTATTGAATTAACTTTAAATAGAACTTTATATACATAATATTCTGTGAGATTATTCATATTTGCTATAATATCTCTTAACCAGTATATGACTTCTCAAATCGTTAGAACTAAAATGAAAATATAATTTCATGTATACTATTCGATGAACTGCGAATTGTTCTACAAAAATCTTATAGATGTCTTTTCAAATGAAGGATAATCTTCTTATCCGGCAGAATCTTTTTTATGTTTATAAATTTACCAAGCATGACTGGATGTGTATGTGTTACTTCCATATGTAAATATGAGACATAAGCCGCATAACCAAGATCTAAATTATAAGATTATTTTTTTGTTTCTTGTAAAAAAAATTTAGAGATTCTACCGAATTTTTCTATTGGTCTTCCAAGAAAACTATAATCAAGTCGTGCCATATAAACCAAATTAAGAAAAGTTGCTTTTATCAGACGAATAATACATGAAGCAACACCAAGAAAACAATCTTTGTTTAGTTTAAAAAAAAGAAACAAATTCTTGTATGTTTTTTTTTGCTGTTTTCTATTAAATAAATCTTACCGGCAAAAAAATTAAAATAAACAAATATTGCATAAGTTTTTCGATTATCTATATTTATTTTTTCATAATCACTTTGCATAAATAAAAATTTTCCAGCTGATGATGCAGTAACCATTTTTAATAGATAAACAACAGTTACAGGTACAGTTATAGCAAGTACTAATTCAAAATAACGCATTTGAAATGTTATGAATCGTATAAAACTTAAGAAAAGAAATATTAAATGAAAACATATTAAAAAACCCCATGCCATATAACCAACAAGAAAACCCGAATAATGAACAGATTTTGATACAATAGCATTTGGTCGAAAATTTGCTGGTGATGGAACATCTTCATATATGCCTTTAAATAAATCTAATTTATGTTTTTTATAATTTTGAATACCAAGAAATAATTGAAATGCATATATTATAAAAGCAATAACTGCACTTGTTATGATTTCTAATCTCAATGAAAATAATCCTTTAATTTCTAAATTATTCAAAAACAAAAACATAATAAATCAAACAATTTATTGACATAACAAAAACAAAAACAAAAAAAAAACAACTAATTAACTTACCAATATTAATCATTGATTGAATATAATATCTTAAAAATAATGTATGACCTGTTGTTCTTGATATATATAGAAAAACAAATGTACATGCTAAATAATAAAGAAAAACAATAGCTACTGTATATGTACATGTAGCTATTGTTGTAAAACGAAAATTTTCATCCCAATGATAGATTGAATTAAAAAAATTTTTAACACGTGATGGATAAATTTTTTTTTTTGTTTTAGTTGTTGGTATTTGTTGATCTAATTTATTAATTATTCGAAATTTTTCAAATCGTTTTTGTTTTTGTTCAAAATTTTGTCGAAATAATTTTGCTACATAATATTTTGCAAATTCATATTCATCTTGTTGAACAACAGGTGCTGACCATATACTTTGATTTTTTTTTAATGGTACATATATAGAATCATATGCAAAACGTACACATAATTCAGCACCAATATATGAAAGAAAAATAAAATGTGGAGTAGTTTTTATTAAACCATAAACAATAAACCATGTACCAAGTTCCTACAAAAAAAAAAAGAATTAAATCACAATAGACTAAATGTAAAAGTTCAATAAGAAATATTGATCATATTAAAATTTAGAGAATCTTGCAAACATGTTTGTGTGATGAATAAACTATACATCTTGATAGTATCAAGACATGATAGATGAGCGTAGCCTTGTCTCAATGAAAACTCTCAAAAAATCAATCAACAGAATTGAATTTCTCGACTTTGAAAACTTCTGATTAAATATTAATATGTTCGTAAAATAGACTTTGTTTGAGCCAAAAAATCAAACTGATAAATTTTCTGTTATCCGATAGCATAATTAGTCCATTGTTAAATCTTCAAAAAAGCAACAATTTAGATAAATAGAAGAGCTGCATCCATATCCGAACAATAGCTCTATTCAATTTTCAGTGCAAGTGTGGACTTATTCAAATAAAGTTATTTTCTTATATTGAGTTTATCTGTTGATCTACCCCGAATGCTATATAAAATAAAAATTAGAAGGTTTGTACTATTAAGCAATGAAATATTATTATACTAATAAATTCTTATAAATCGAATTAATAAATAAAACAGAAGTCAAAAAGAGAATTACAGGATTAACTATAGTAAGTTTACACGCAATAAAATGAATGATTTAAACATTGACAGAGTATAAACATTCTAAAAGAAAGTCAACAACCTTCAACAGTACTCGAACCTGTCATCATCGTTTATATACCTCAAGAAATGCTTGAATAATTATATAAATACTCGACATTGTCAAAACTGGTTGAATAGCTTCCGAACATCAGACTAAAACTCAGTATCAGCACCTGCCTACGCTGAATTGGATACATAATTATCTTTCTGTTTATCTACTTCATTAGAGCATATTTTACGACTCACTTTCTCATCATTGTACAAATAACCATCAACAAGGTTAATTTTTTATTTATACGATAAGCAGCTTTAATGTAGCCGAGAATTCTTTACATCGGCATAATCTTATACAAACTTTCAACCTTAGTAGAAAAGTTCTTCAATAAATAGGTTTTATAGAAGAAAAAAAATTTAGTATCTCTATAATAAAATAATTCTTAACCATACCATTCGAAGTTTTGCTTCTTCTATAGATGAATAATATCTTGATAATGGTAAAAAACCCATACAAGATCCTTCTCGTACAATTGCAAATATAATATCACCTAATACATAAAGACAAATAAGAAGTCGTGAAACAACATTACGTAATTGTAAAGAAGCAAGTACTGGATAATATCGAAGTCTAGAAAAGAAAATTTAAAAAAAGAAATTGTTCATTCTTTCTTTTTTTTCGAAAATTTTTACCCAACAAGAACTACAATAGCTATACGTTCAATTAATTCAACAAGTACACCATGATTAAATGGATCAGCTGCTCGAAAAAGTAATTCTTCAAATATTTTTAATACTTCAAATGAAAGAATTCCAAAAATTGTTGCTGTTGTAAAACGATTTGATGTACGAAATGGTTCTATTGGTGGTATTAAACCTAAATCATAATAATAATAATAATAATAATAATAATTAAAACTATATGTATGTAGAAAAAATTAACAATAAGATTTCCTACCTGGTCGACCATCACATGTATTTAAACATTTTCTTTCTCGTTTTGTTGACCATGAAAAAATAATTATTAAACCAACTGCTATTGGAAAAAATATTAAATTTCCTAGACGTGAATCTGATATACGTTCACAATGTGCTACTAAACGAATTGTTTCATTAACTATTACATCTAATTTTGTTTCATCAGTTATTTCATATTTAAATGATGAAAAATGTGTTAATGTTGTTATAGAATATAATAATGATAAAAATATTATAATCAATACACTAACCCACATAGTTCGACTAAGATCACGTTTAGTTGGATTTTTTAATGGATCAGGAGTTGATGGTATTCTAAAAAATAATAATAATTCTGTTAGCAAGAAAGAAAAAATAATCATAAAGCAATCTAGAAGATTGATTATCTACATGTTTTTTTTCTTAAATCAAGAAAAGAAAATAGAGCTATTCATTATAATTAGAGTTTGTTAAACTTTTTATAGTTTTTTACACTATTATTTTCAAAAAAAAAAAGAAGAAACCAATTGCATACATAATTTTTTGATATATTTCTTGTCTAATATATTGAAAAAAAAATAGATGAAAAATATTTTTTCTTTCTGCTTGAAACAAAAATAACCTACAGAAAATCCAGAATTTCTTCAGCAATACTTGGACGAGGTTCGTCCATACTTGCTTGTTGTTGTAATTCTTCATCATCAACATTTTCATCTTTTCTATACGAACAAGTTTCATTGTATGTAATTTATATTCAAAAAAAAAAAAAAAAGAAGTATTATATTTACTTTTTTGTAGGTACCAATTGTTGTTTATCCTCATTGGTTTTATCCTGTTTCTTTTTTTTTTTCTTTTTTTGTTGGTTACAACAACCTTTACAACAACTAAGAAATAAAAAAGAAAAAGAAGTAGAAAAATTTCTAATGATATTATACACGTATGATTCTATGATATGATATTTCTTTTTTTATTTCCATTAACTATTGATGGTTCTTTAAATTTCAAAATTTCAATGGTTTTACTTCGAAAAAGAGAAACATATCACAAGAATCCTAGTCACAATACCATATAGAGGGGCAACAGATATATAAATGTCACATATGGCATCTATTCAATCAAATGGACTTTCATCATCATTAATTTAATTTTTTTTTCTATTTGTACCCGAATCATAACAGTGTAAAGTCTAGGATTCTTTCTGTTTCGAGCTGAAATTTCTAATTTTAACGAAAGTCTTTTAGTTTGAATTAGATAGTCACTGTAAAATACTTTTTATTGATTATTCGTATTCTGCAACTACTAACACATTCAACAAATTTCTCAGACAATCTCATTATTGATTGTTATTTTAGAGTACAACTTTCAAAATCGATAAATAGAAAACTCTCGGATTCGAAACGAATCCGACAGGTTTGAAAACAAGATACCGTTGACTTTAAAAAAGTTGAAAGGAAAAATATTGAAATAAAATTATGTCTCAAGGGGTAGTTACGGTTGTGAATGCAAGTAAAGAGAATAGCAGAATCCACACTTACACTTTTTATGTGAAAAATAAACAATATCTTATTAATTGAAATTTTCGATATTTTCACTTTGCATACCAAACGTATTTAGGCTCAGTTATGGAATGACTCTTAACAGAGTGTTAAAGGTTATCTGCCTCAAGTCACTTGTCTAATAGCATATCTACAACACTGCTGTCATCATAGGATATTTTCCACGACTACGCCTGAAAACTCTGTTACATCTACACTGTATATCTTCTTTGCTCATACTTAAATGAGTTTTAGAAGAAATCTAGAAACCAAAAAAAAAACATTTAATCGATTTTTCATAATGACTAAGTGATTCATTAGTATGTATTGAGAGCTTAAGGAATAGGTCGAAAATATTTCTAAAGGAGACTGACTTATCAAACTAGCCTTGGACAATATACTACCTTGAAAACTAGCCGAAATGATAAGAGATACTCATTTTTTCTTCTTTTGAAATCTCAAAAACTTACCGACAGAGTATTTTAAGAATAGCTTGTAATGTCCATCGAACTGGTTTAATTGATAATGAATAAAGAAAAACAACAATACCAAAACTAATTAAAATTTGTCTGCCTTGTTTTGAAACTATGAATAATAGAAAATTTAATAAGCATAATTATACATTATGAAAAATCTTCTATTGAATATTTCGTTGATAAAAAGAAAAAAAAAACCTTGCATAATAAGGTCAATAATTCCTATCGGATAGTATTTTTTTTCTTTTATAGGCATCATAGAATTGATTATTGATAAACGAAAAAAAAAAAACGATGAATTTTAAATGATTCATTTTTATTATGCCATTTATACAAAACATATAAAGGAATCAGTGATCTGCTTAATATTTCTTTTTTTTTTCTGAACAAATTTTTAACTATAAGATGAAAGAATATGTTGCGTGATAGAACTTTATATTAGAAAATTTAATTATAAAAAAATTTTTGATTACATCATCTTTGAATTTTATTTATGCATATATAATCATACATTCTAGAAGTTTCGGTTCAAATCATTTTTACTTAATTACTAATCAAATAAACGATGTAGTTATTTATTTCTATCTCATTTATTTTTTTTTGTCAATAATAGACAAAAAGTTTATTTCTAAAACCTTTTGTCTACATAATAACTTAGCAATATTAACACATATTAGCATATGAATGTCAGACTTCTATTAAAATATTTTCTTATAAGACTTCACAAAATTTATCATATTTACTTAATTTGCTTTAGGGAATAAAAATTTTAATTAGATTTTTTTTTTCTTTTGCCTATATAGAAAAAGAAAAAATAAATCTTACTTTTTTCACAAAGAAGACCACCATATAAAAACGAACAGGAACACTTGAAACCTGATAATGTATTTACACAACGTCCATATTTGCCACATATAACATTTGCAAAGCAAAAATCGAGTACTAGATTATAATTAAGCAGAAGAAAAAATAAAAATATCATTTATGTTTTAAAACAAATAAATATTTTACAAACCATATTCACAAACATGATCATATTCTATATTTGATTCAACATTACTTATTGAACAATGTATTTTATCTGATAGTAAAAATGTTGTTAGAATATAGACTGTTGTATCATTATTTAAAACATTCCAATCGACTTGATCACATATACCTCGTATATCATCGATTCGTTCAAATTCATCACTTTGGTCTTCAGAATCAATATCATCATATTCATATTCATCAATTATTGTTGTTGTATTATTAGAATGTATAAAATTTGTTATATTATGTTCATCATAATATTCATCGCCATAATCCATATCAGAATGACTAGGATTATAAATATATTTTTCTTTATATTTATTTGTTGATTGTTTGATTTTTTTTGAACGTCTCGATATACGTAAACCAGCTGAACTTAATTCTTCAAGAATTTTTGCTTTTAATTTATAATATCGACTACGCATTTCACGAAATTTTTCTTTCATACGTTGCCATTGACCTTTATCATCCATTAATATATCTGTAACACTTTTTCCTATGAAATTAACAAAATAAATAAATAAAGTTATTTGAGTTTTGTTTGTTTGTTTTTTACTATCTAAAATAATTTAAAATATTGTTTACCTTTTAATGAATTTGGATCCAGTTCAATCATTAATGATGATAGATTATTTTTTGTTAAAGCATGAGCTGCATACAACAATTGCATAACATTACGAATTTGCATTAAATTTGAATGATTTGAATGTAAAAAGCTACAAGTATTATTTGCATCAGTTGGTGTTGACCTTATCTCAGATAAAAAATAACATGAACCACCTAAACGTCTCCATCCTTTTGGACAACGAAATCGATTTACTAAAAAAAAAACAATAACAAAAGATAAGACAAAAAATTGAAACGGAAACTCTTCTGGTGTAGTGCAATTATTAACCAGATGTAGTTTTATCTGTTCGATTGACTGGAAAATTATAACATCTGGATATTTAATTCTTCGCTCTATAAGTTTTAACTAGCAAATGGCTTTTTAGTTAGTGTATGTCTTATATATAAAAAAAAAATAATATTTTAGTGATCTTGTTAAAATTTTTAATGAAATAATATTTATAAAGTTTCATTTTTTGAAGCAACTTTATGTTAATATAATATATATGAATAAATCGAAAAGACTGTAGACAAATCTGATTAAGATAAAGGCATAAGAAAAACAATCTCATCTGTCTCGTAGTAATAACAAAATTGTTTTAATAATATTTTTCTTCAATATATCTGTCAATGTTTGTCTTGTTTTCTATTTAATTATTTATATGGAAATAGCTAGAAAACTGTCCATTTTACTCTATATTTCTATTTATCATTGACAAGTGTTTATTAGTAATATGATTTTATATATATATAGATTTCATGTACACAAAGTCAATATCAATAATTAACTTCAAATGTATACAAAAATAATTAAAAAACACAATCAAGTCAAAAGTTTTTTATAAGCAAGACAATGTAAATAAACTTATTATACAACTTATATTAATATATTATTCAGACAACCTTTTTTTTGACGTGTTTATGTATAAATGGCCTTGAAAAACATCAATGACCTTCATATACAATATACTTTTTCAATAACATACCAGCTTCTTTGATTTTGCTTATAACTGATGGAAATTTATCTACGAGTGATGTAATATCATCGAGTTCAAGATTCTGTAAAAAAGTTGGTATTTCACATGTTGTTGGTTCAATAAAAAAATTGATTAGTAATAATAATCCCAGCGAATAAATAATGGACGGCATATATTACACACGAATATTAATAATGACAGGTTGAGTGAATATGTAAAGCTAGACAGGTCTTTTTTTGTCTTCGAAACATCTAAAGGACACTTGTACATACACCAAAAAAAAAACAGAAGAAAAAAAATCAATAGCAAATTTCTTGTTCTTGACGTCTTTGTAGTTCTCTACAATGGTGACAAGGCTTTCTCGATAGGATGGGTTGTAGTAAAGCAAAAAAAAAAAAAAAGACGAAAGGAAGAGAAAAAACAAAAAAAAATATATAACGACGAATATCTCAGTTACTCATATGGTAAAAGGATGAAAGAACGAGACAGAGAAAGAGAGAAGAAAAAAAGATTGAGCGTTTTTTATTAGTAACGGCAGACAACGATGTATGAGCATTTTGACATCGTAGAGTTGCCGGTAACAGCTATAAGCTCACTGGCATCATACATCTGTTCTTCTCTTTGATGTTCATCTATATAGGTATCTGTATCAAGTCAATAATGTTGTACATAGACGTTCGGCCGTCTCTCACCAAATATTTTCTTTGCTAACCGCTGTCGCTTCATCTATATAGAATAATATATGTTGTTGAATGGGTAAACTGGTAGAGCACTTATGAAAAGAGAGGAAAAAAAAAGGCGAACGGACATGCAAAAAAAAAAACACACACACACACAGATTATCTTGTATATATGAAAGATCATTAATCAATCAACATTGCTTAAAGCTTACGACTATAAGATAGATACGATAAAACATTTTAGTTACAAAAAAAAAATGAATTGATTCTTGAATGTCGATATCACAGTTAAGATCAAATATACACTTAACGAAAATATTCTTAGACAATGATAGTCATAAAAAATAAAAGAATTGTTCTATTTGTTTCTTTTTGTATTCATTCTGAATTGATAGTGACAATGAATAGTATTACATATTATTCTCTTATATCAATTATATGATAGTATGCAACGGAAATGTTATGTAATAGGTTATATATATAAACATCTATCAAATTCGAATTCAATGGTATTAGTATGCCAAGTTATTAACGATGAATACATTATAACCCTGTTAAAAGCAAGAAAATGAACACTATCGAAATTGTATATTGTCACAATGTATTAGGATAATCGATCTTATTAATACACTATTTGTATTTGATAATGATGAATCAGTAGACAAGTCGCAAATAACTTGAATTTAGTTAAATATATATATACAAAAGAGTAAATCCAAAACAAATAATACTATATTTTCTTGTTAAATATATGCATATCAAATTTTCTTTCTTTGCTTTCTTTTGTTTTCTTTTAATGTACTTGAAGAATAATCAAATTTTTTCTAGTATTTATGACTAAACATATATAAATATATTATTTTGAACAAATTTTTCGATTGGAGAGATAATAGAATTCAAAAATTTTATCTATTAACATATGTCAATAAAATTATTGTTGATTTTTGTTTTTAAGATTAACTATTCTAACATAAAGCATTTATTTATTTCATCTTAATTGATAAATATTTTACTTCCGGAAAAAAAAGAGAACATTTAGCCGATAATTGTCGCCCTCTATTGATGAAATTCATGAAGAGTAAAAATTGTCCATAGTAATACTAATACAAACAACAAAAAGAATGGCTGAATATTTCTTTTAATTGTCAAAAATATTCATTTATTTTCTTAACTAAAATAAGCATAATGTCAAGTCTTAGTAACAATCATCCAGTGATTGATGAAGGTGATTATTACACTGAGATAAATGGTTATCAAGTTCCTCAAAATATTCGTCATCGTTTTCGTTCAACAATAACTGCAGAACTTTTATTGGATAAAGATAAAGTTGAACGTGATAAAAATGACCTTGAATATGTAAATATTAAACAAAATATTCCAATTTATCGTCGACCTCAAACAACTTTTTCATCATCAAATCCTGATTATACTAAAATAAGTAATGATTTACGATGTACTGTTGCTCATGGTTATCCTGTACAACGTAGTAGTCATTCAAAAACAATTCATAATCAAGACATATTTAAAAGTCATCAAGATGATCAACAATCTAATTTATATCGTCGAAAAAAAGATTGGCTTGCTCGTTGGACAGAAGCAAATATAATACGCGATCGTCTTTATAAAAATATTCTTGAAGCTCAAAAGAAAACGACGCAATAAACTTTATGTTAAGCTGAACAACAGAGACAAAAGTTTTCCTTTTTTTTTTATAACGAAAAAAAAACAAACAAAATATAGAACCAAAGAGCGAGAAAGAGATAGAGAGCGAACCAAAAAAAAAAAAAAAAGAAAAGAGAAAAAAACAGAAGCAACTAAAAAAAAAGATTATGCCAAAGACGTTTAGGGGAATACTAATAGGCGAAAGGGATAAAGTTTAATAATTATTTTTTATTAACAGTTGATCCAAGTGTTGGAAATTCATCAGTTGAAGCTAAATTAGGTTCTTTCTTTTTTGTTGGTCGTTGACTAACACCACTAACAACAGTAACTGTTGATCCACCACGTAATGCTGGTGGTCGATAAGCACCAGTTGATGTTGTTGATGGTTTTGGTGGAGGTGGTTGTTCTGCAGTTTTCTCTTCAACAACAGGAATATTTATTTCTTTTTCTTGTTTCATTTGATCTATTTTCCAAACAGGTTTATCTTTTTGTTGTTGACGATCACCACTCATATCATTATTATTATCATTATTATTTGGATTATTTTCATCATCATAAAATTCATCATCATAATCATTATCATTATTTATACGTGAAAATTTTAAACGTAATTGTTCATATTTAGAATTTGAACCTTCAAAATCTTCCCATTCATCTTGTTGTTGTTGTGATTGTTGTTGTTGTTGTTGTGGTGGTTGTTGTCCTTCATTAGAAATAATTGTATCTGGTTCATTAATAGATTTATTATTATCAGGATTTTTTATTTTATTATGTTTTATTGGATGTTTACGAGCTTCTTCAGTAACACCTGTTCCTAAAATTGATTCATCATTGATTTGTGGTTCATCATCATCATCAAAATCCATATTTTCTTTAAATGCTGATGTTGCAGATGTAACAATTTCTAGAAAAACAAAAAAAGAACTTGGTAATAAAAAAAAAACTATCGTTCATATTTACCTAATTGTTTAAGTAATTCTTGATTATTAGTTAATAAACCGGCTTGTTTTTTATGTTTACCCTTTCGATCTTTTTTTTTAAAGAAATCATCAAGATCATCATTGGTCGCCATATTTATGGAATAATAAAAAATAAAATAGAAGAAGAAGAAGAAAAAAAAAACTTTTTGTATAAACTTTGCTTGGTTTTTGTTTTTTTTGTGTAATATATTTATTTAATTATTATCGAGTATAATTTTGCTAGTTGAATAAATGTTATTGATTTTCATTCATGATAATTGTTAATGGTCCAATTGGACATGTATTTTGAAGAGGAAAGAATTGTTTATGATTTTCAATATTGTTTGATGAAAAAATTTGACGGGAAAGAAGATTTAGAGAGCGTGTTTTCGTGCGACTCTTGGCAGACCACAAAACGGAAGAACGATTGCTCGAAAAGGTTTTCTGTATAGAGTTAAGCATAATCTGAAAAATAAAATAATCGTAATTATGAAAATCGGTGTCATATTCATGGCATACATTTATAAATATTTCATTGAATATTATTTTTTATCGTTTTTATAGAAAAGTTAAGATGATTCAATATTAAAAAGCATTATAACGAATGCTTTTTAATAGATAAAAAAAATGAGGATTGATATTGAGAAAAAAGAAATAGATTATATGTGTGCACACATACCTATATTCATGCCCTTGAAACAGCTGACGATTTGAGCAAACAAACGCTTCCACACATCATCTTTGTGAATGCATTAGGAAAAAAAACGAAATGATTCGACTATTTTGCACTCACTTAAATGCGTACGTAAATAAGAAAAAAGAAAAGATAGAAAGGTAAAATACTCGTCTTTTCGTATCACCAGGTGACCATGATAGGAGGTATAATGGATAAGAAAAAAAAACAAAAAACAGAGAAAAACGAAAAAAACTTCGGTATAGTAGGACACGAAAGAAAAACGAAAGGAACGAATCAAAATATTGAAAAAGAAAATACCTCAAGTATCCTTTCTTTTCTGTTAACATCAAATCATATAAAAAGTAAATATTATTCACCAAAATAAAGTATATCTATTATCCAATGTTTTGACATTTTCTCATCAAAGGAAGAAGATTATATTTATCGATAAATGATTGTTTTATATGAAAAAGTTTCGTCATACTATAACCACTATAGCCATATTGAAAATAAAGCACTTTTCCAATACAATCAAATGAAATATTTATTACAAAATCTAAATAACCTATTAAAAAAAAATAAATCAATAATTAAGAAAATATAAAAATTTATCTTTACCTAAATATTGTGCTTTTTCATCTGCAATAGAAAAGTTACTATCACAAACTGTAGTAGTATTATGTCCATAAAAATTAGTAGAATTTTCTTCAAGATATGCTATTGTTGAATGTCTAGGATGTTGAATACCACCTGTATATTTTAAAAATGAAATATTTACGATATATATTTGTTTTTATTAAACAACTAACCAAGTGAATTATCTCCACGTTCATCAATATATATACGTATTTTATCAGGCCAAAGAAGAATTTTTTCAATTGTACAAAAATAATTTTCATCAAATCGACTTATTTTTTCTTCTAATTCATCAGATGATATTAAACGCATAAGATAAACTAAATTGAAAAAAAAATAGATAAAAAAAAATTTTCTTCTTCAAATATGAATTACTTTGTTTACAATAATCTAACCATGTTATATCTTCTGTTAATTTTGTAGTTGTTGGATCACGTTGTAAGGCTAGTTTTTGCCAATATTTTTCATCATGAGACCATTGATAAAATCGTCGACAAGTTGATGTAAATGAAAGAAAATCACGTATATCATCTTTCCATGGTCTACCAATGATATTAAATACTATGATTTCAAGAATTTCATTAGGAAGATCAAGTATATTATGAGCAGTCATCTAAAAAATATTGTACAAAAATTTCTAAACATGAATAGAAAGAAAAAAAACAAAAATATACAATTGTATTTTTTGTTTCATGTATCATTCAAAATATCTTACACGACAAATTAAGGTAATTTAGTATAAACAGGAAAGAAAAATTTGTAGTTTATCATTAAATCAATTACTATGCAATAGTAAATGCATTTCATCTTTAAATACCTAATTCATACGTAATCGTAAATGATTTGAATCTGCATATTCTGAATGCATATATTCTTGTGATAAAATTAAATTTTAAGTGAATAATAATCAATTGATAATGAATGAACACATTCTGGAACATCTAAATAAAATTTATTATTGAATATAAAATAATGAATTAATTCGATTATTTGTCTTTTTACTAATTCAAAATGGTAATAGTTTGAAATATTTTTTTTTTGGTTTGATTATACGAAGAGTAAAAGATTTGAATTTTGAACAACTATATAATTTTTCTAGTATTTTAAATCGAAACATATTTTTGTCACACTTATACAAATATATTCTTTAAAAAAAAATAAATATACATATCTGTGCAATTTATTATATTCATGTCCTCCTAACTGTCATCAGATTTCTTTATTAACAAACTTGAATTTTGATCTAGCTGTAATTTTCCAGGTGTAATATACGACAAAAAAAAACATCGTAAGTCTTCAAGTGCCGTTTAAGAATTCTTTTTCTACCATATAATTAAAAAAAAAACTAATAATATACTTTGTAGATTGCATCGTATATCGTGTCTCATTTTACTGTCTTTTTTGAAAAATTTACTCTTCCCATATGTGATCTTAGATATTTTGTTATGTTTTTGCTATATGCCGTATTTAATTCAAGGTCATATGTATACCATACATCATACGACATTATTTATCAGAAGATACTAAACTACGTATTATACTGTCTATATATTAGCTGCTTATCAATACTGATTCTTATATACTTAATGAATCAGAAAAAGATTCAGTTCTGTTTTTTTTTTGTTTTATGGTTCATTACTAATACGAGACTCACTAACTATGCTCATTAGCACTAATGTTCCTATCTGAAAATTGATAATGAATAAATAAATAACAAAATTTTGTGTGAAATGATTACTTCCGATCAATACACTAAATTATACCTTAGCACTTAAAATTTAAGACTACTATTCATATAACAGAGTACTTTAACGCATATCTTAGTAAGCTATGTATTGAAACTGGTTCGAAGTCCATGGTCAACGAAAATCTATTTACCGAAAAAAAAAGAACGCCACTGGAACAAGAATTCTTACATTCGACATTGTTCATAAGGCATTGCATATAGTTTTTAATAAAAATAAATTGAATGCTCAGTATGATATACGAATCATCAGCATATAAAACCAAACTTTTAGTAAAAAACTTTAGTGTTTGATAACTATTATGTTTGCTCAGTAATTTAATAATGCATGCATACAGGTGTGGACGTGGGTGCTGAATTGAGTGTAAAGAATGCTACAATTCAAAAAAACAAAAAACAACACCTACACAAACATTGATAACGAAGTCACACTTACACCCACATTCTTAAATAATGAATTTTTTAAAATTAATTATTGAACAAAACTAATAAATTTACATTCATCAGAATGAATAAATTATTTACTAGTCCATATTTTAAGATTATCTTGTACATTGGTCATTTGTAAGTATAGTTGCAGCCGATGAATTTTATTGTCGATTTAGAAAATGCATCTTGTTGATGACGAATATCCAATGTTTGCTTTATGATACATATCAAATTTGTACGTGTACGAGAAGTAGCTGACATATTCTTAAGTAATTTCTAGAGAAAAAGTAATTTTAACAAAAGAACAAAACTAAAAATTGCCCGATAAAAAGCATATAAATATAAATAAACATAAACGTATTAACCAATCATATTATAAAATGTTTTAAGAATAAATTTATTAAAAGAAAAGAAATTTTTGTATTTAAACGAATAATTTACAAAATTTCTATCATATTTATACTTAAATATTACTTAAATAATCTTTAATAGCGCCCTCTGTTATTACACAATCATGATGAAAGTACAAAATATATTCTTTGATTCGCGCCTTCGATATAATGGCATCAATAAGTTTAACAAAAGGAGCTATTACTGTATGTTCAATCATTTATATCATTGATTAAAATAATTCTTAGAAATTTTTAGCGTTATCAAAATGGAACGACAAATCAATCAGCAACTGTTAAAGTTCTTGTATGAAGATTTATTCAATCGAAAAAAAAAACAAACTAAATAAATAAATTTCCTTTTTTTTTTTCTTGATGTTTAATTATTCAGAATATTCGACAATGTGAATCTTCTACAGCGACCAATGTTGAACGTTATCGTTTATCGATAACTGATGGTCAAGATACATTTAATGGTTAATCATTGAGTCTTTTTTTTTGTCTCATAGAAAAGATAAACTCTCATTTTCTTTAGCTTGTATATTGGCACCAGAGTTAAATAAACTAATTAAAGACGAACAATTGCGCGAGAATTCAATTGTTAAACTAGAAAAAGTTGCACATAATTTAACAAGTACTGGAAAGTATGCTTTAATACTAATATCTTACAAATCAATATAATCTAGTCTATATTAGATCGTTTTTAGTTATACTTAATTTAACTGTATTACCACAATCAACAATGCCTACTGTAAATAATAATAATAATAATAGATCAAATACAAATATTTGTCCAATTGAAATGATAACACCATATTTAAATGGAATGTAAGTGTTAATGAATGATGTAATTCAACTTATATACGAGTACAAATCTTCATTAAAATATAGTTAAGAAAAAAAGGAGGGAGGTCAGTCACGCACAGAAAAATCATTTCTATTATGTCAAACTCTCACGCAAGATGTTCGAAAGTGAATCCTGATAGAATTAGATATATAAACTTGTTTGTACTATCTGTCGGCTGATCGAAAGATCGATCAGACTAATATTGTTGGTCGAAAATTTGTGTCAACAAACGAATGTGATACTCTAAATCAATATCAGAAACTGAATAGATTTATGTATATTTCAAACATTTCTTTTGTCAAAAGAACAGTAAAAGGAGATTTTTCATCCAATTCTGAATGAGACTGCGAGTAAATTATTTTGGATAAAAATAATTTTTGAAATATATGTGATTAAATATCATACAAAAAAATCATAAAATCATGCCTCAAGAATAGTCTCCTTAGGATATACTCGAGTTCAATGTACATGTGACAATCATTGATTATGTCAATCGACCTGTAATATTTATCTAATAAATTGCTTTATTTAAGGTGGAAAATTCGTGCACGATGTTTTGCAAAAAGTCCGATAAGATCACATCCTGTATGTGATTTTGATTTTGTTGATGCCAGTGGTGAAATTCGTATAGTTGCTTTTCGTGATGAATGTACTCGATTTCATCCAATGATTGAAGTTGATAAAGTAAAAAAAAAATCAATAAATAAATGTATTTTTGCTTTCTCATAAAAAAAAATAGATTTATGATATTTTGGGTGTTCGAGTCAAAACAGCTGATAAACGTTGGAATAATCTTCGTCATAATTATGAATTAACATTAACACCAGGTTCTATTGTTCGATTAGTTGATGATACAACAATAAATACAAGTATACCCGATGTTCATTATGAATTTATTCCACTTCGTGATGTTTCAAAACAATCAAGTGAAGCATTTATTGGTAAAATAAGTTTGTGATTGATTGATTTATATACTTTTTTATTTCTCATGTAAAGATGTTATTGGTATTGTTGATACATGTTCTGATATAATTCCATTTACGAATCGAACATCAAATAAAGATTCAGTTCGTCGAGAAATAACAATCATGGATGAAGATACAAGTATTTCAATAACTTTATGGGATGAACAAGTAAAATTATTTGGATAAAAATTTAATTTAAATTTTGTTTTCTTTTTTTGTCTCTTAGGCAAATGATTTCGATGAAGAATTAGCAGAAAATAAAGCTGTTGTTGCATTTCGTCGTATTCGAGTAGCTATTTTCAATAATAGTAAATAGAAAAAAAAAATCATAATTACAATATTATACATTATTTCTTTTTTTTTTTTCTATAGAATATAGTTTATCTGGTCATAAAAATATGATAATGAAAATCAATCCAGATATTGCACAAGCAAAACATCTTCGAATATGGTATAATGCTGGTGGTCGTTTAACGAATAATCGGATAACGACAGCAACAACAACACCAAATCGTCTAACCAGAGAAGGTTGTTAGATCTTGAATTAAGTTCAATTTTAATAGAACGACTTAGGAGATCATAAAAAAGCCTTATCGCTATAAAAGTTGGGGTTTCGGACATTTGTTGGAACCGTTACATATTCACATGCATGTGAGTATCAACGAAGAGACTATCTACACCCTCCTGGATAACTGCTCGACTCTCGAAGACTTGATAGACGTTAAAGTACTCAGCAGTCTACAAACGTTATCAAGTAATGAATTCAAGTAATAATTATCTCAAAATACGACATCGCCTCTAATAGGATCATCACAGACTGCTAAGAGCTACAGAGTGTACTGAGTTTTCATAAAATATCAGGTTTTCTGAAACTTTGATGAGAAGAGTTTGAACTTCATCCGGAAGTCTTATATGACTTTGGGATGCGGACCAAAATTCATATAACTCAAATGTTTTATTTTAGATCCATGGAAAACCATTGGACAAATTGAAAATGAACAGCTTGGTCGACAAGGTCGTCCTGATTATGTAATGCTCAAAGCTATATGTATGCACATAGCTAATGATCGAGTTGTTTATACGGTTTGTTGTATTTTGTTTTTGTTGTTAGACTTTTAAATAAGAAATCTTTTAGAGTTGTCCAAATAATGATTGTTTTCGAAAAGTAAATAAATTATTATCTGGTCTTTATCATTGTGATAAATGTCGACAAGATTTTAATGAATGTCATTGGAGTTATATGCTTCGTGTAAATTTTATTAAACATATGATTAAAATAGAAACATATTGAAATTTATTTAGGCTGAACTTGTTGATTCAACTGGTGCAATATGGGTTTCATTCTTTCGACAACAAGCACAAGAACTTATGGATAATATAACAGCTGAACAATTCGCTCAAGCAAAAGAAAATGTAAGTCATTTAAATGAATAATATAAGGATTGAGAGAGCAATACAAAATGTACGCGAGAAAACTCTTAGATTAGGATCTCGTTCACTGTTCCTTTTTCAAAGAAAAGAGATTTTTCACAGCTATGACTTATAATGATTTGTTCACTGTAGAATTTTCTTTTCTTTTTTTTTTAGGACGATGAAATACTTATGCAAACGTATTTAAATAAAAATACATTTCGTGAAAAATACTTTCGTCTACGTATTAATCAAGAAACATTTAATGTAAATATGAAATTTATTCTATATAAAGGATTGTTCATAATGAATGATCGGTTTTTTGTATTTTTCTCTTTATCACTTAGTAAGTTTTATTCGGAAATACAATATGTCATGAGATATATCATGAAGAACTTTATAGATAATAATAATAATAATCTTAGTTTTCAACTTTATTCCATTCTATTTTATTGACAATAGTGTTCTACCTGAAAACATTAAATCATCAAATGGAGACCGACCAGAGCAATGGTCGTAAGATTGCGTATGTGCAAGAATAACGTCATGATAATTTTCATACGATAACATTTTACTAGGTTTAACTACAATTGAAGACGTCAGATAATATTGAGATACATATGACCACAGCATAATTTTCTTTGCATACTTAACCTTTTGGTCTATGCTCTTTTGTTTGCCTGCTTTCTTTTATTCACTTACAACATAAACACATTCTAATGAAGAAATATATTTCGTTAGTAGATAGAATTTTAATCGTTCACCATTAAAAATGATCTTGTTCATAAAGACTTTGGTCAAGTTTAGAAATTGATAAAAAAAAATAAAAAAACCGATCATTCTTTATGTGCCATCTGTTATTATAATTTTCTTTTTCTCTTAAGGATGTTACTACAGTTAAAATATCGTGCATGTCAATCAGTGACATTGATTTCAGTGAATATGGTCGTCGTTTAATTGAAAATATTCATAATGAATTTTAGTCTTTTTTTTGTTTTTGTTTTCAATAATTTTAAAAAAATTTTTCGTTGTAATGTAATAATAATAATAATGCATGTTGTATTTATTCCAGATTAATTTAATATGTTGAACCAACGACTTTTTCAGTCTTTTTTTAAAGGGTAGTAAAACGGATGATCCATCAACAACTACTAAACGTTATCGTCTTATGTTATCAGATAGGAACAGTATATTTTTCATGTAAGAAATATTACATATATTTGAATTTTGATAACAAATAATTCTTTAAAAGAAAATTCAATTGTTCCAATTGATCGTGTTATAGTTAATGCAATTGATAAATACAGTTGACGGTAAAGAATCTTACTTTATATGGAGTTATGCTTATGTGTTATAAACTTGAAGTACTTCAAAGTAATAGTGAACGAATTGGTGATCCAGTTGCATGACTATTAACGGATATTATTAATAATGGTGGAAATGCAAATTGTATAGGTAAAATTTTTAGAAATTTTTCAATCAACAGATAATAATCAAACATCAACAACTACAGCAACCGCAGATATGAAGAGTAGCTATTGACAATCAAAAGGAGATTATGAATAGTAGCTGCATCGTTTTATTTCAGTTACATATCGTTGAGCAGAAAGGAATAACACCAGCTTCTATTTTATTTCACTTTACTTATATCTTCTTTAATTTCATCATCTCCTTATCATGTTAAAATACTATCCCAGTTAAAGAATTCTACTCAAGTACCATCATTGAACTTACGAGGGAACATCCAGAAGTAAAACTCTTCAATCGAATCGATGCGCTATCCGTCCCAGGTTATTACAGTTTTACTGAATTTTTTAAGTCATGGTAAACATGATTGAGATCGGAATCCTCTTGCCTATACCTGCTTGAGCTATTTTTATTTTGATTTATCAAAACTATGCTTTGGTTTTTTTTAGCATCTTCAGCTACAAATGTTATTCGACAAGGTTCTAAAGCATTACCAACATTAGATGATTGAATTAATGCTAAAAACTTCAATGATGATAATAATCGGGTGTCTCAAAAGGAAGCAACACTATTGATATACTCAAGCTATATGTGAACAAGTTTGTTTTGAATATTTTTTTCAACAAATTTTTCATTACGAAAAAAAAACAAAACAAAAATCTTTCGATGGACAATAAGAGTCAAATACGAAATTATCAAAATTCGCGTAGTTCAGGAAAATTATTTAGCTGTGACTTTGTTAATCAATCTGATGAAATTTGTGTAACAGCATTTAATACTGAATGTGATAAGTTTCGTTGATTACTTGAAGTTGACAAAGTATATTCTTCGAAAAAAATCTTGATAAATATATTAAAACAATTTCTTTTTTGCAAAGGTTTATTATTTTGCTCGAGCCTCACTTACGTCAGCTAATCGTCAATTTAATTCATGAAATAATGATTATGCATAATGGCATTCAATTATGATTCATGTATTAAACCAATATGTTTATTTATGCAAATTCAAATAAAAAAGAGTTGCAGTGTGGAAAAACTAATATCTTCTACTTTTATGAATATAGGATTTGAATCGTTTTAGAAAATCAATTTTTTCTTTTTAATGATGATTCAACATCATTCGTCTTGATATATATATATACGAAATATTCATTCCGTGGTTTAAATAACAATATTTAAAAAGTTCTGGAAATAAAATAAATTTAACATTTTTTATTTCTACTATGTTTTAGAAAAGTTACTATAGAAAGAAAGAAATTAAAGGAATTATCTAAGTATAATATTTGATTAAAATTCAAATGTCTTTTATTGTATATTTTTTTAATAAAAATCTCTTAAATAATTTCTTGAATTCATACTAGATTAATCTAAAAAACGTTGTTACTATATGAAATTTTCTGTTGAATAATCTTTTCTTCCCTTTTTGTCTTTCAAAGGTTTTATTCTATTGGTTTGCAGGTGCTCCTGCAATGGCTCAATTTCTTAGACATGAATCAGACTAAAAAGTTTATATGATTGAGTTTTGCAGCGTAGTTACAAAGAATTAAACAATATTAAAATAAGTTTATAAATTAATGTTATCGCTTTTTGTTTTAGTCAAGATCTTGTCTTGTAACAATCTTTGAACAGATCTTGGCTATAGACTTATTTGATACGGCTAAGATATATGCATCCAAAATATCTTTTTAAGATCTTGTTTACAAGATGTTCAACTAGGGAACGCTCCTGATTATATTCTGTTATTTCTCCATGTAGAAAAACTCGAGACCAATTTATTGTGAATATTCATTATTAAATAGTATAGTTACAATATTCTTAAGAATTATCACAAATGATTAGTCTAAAATTTAATCCATGAATAAATTTAGTTTAAAATGGTTCCTGTTCAATTTCGAATATTAAAAAAACCGACTAAATTGTTATATAAATAGGCATGCATCAAATCCGAACCGTTCGGGTACGATGAATGTCTATATATCAACATTGATTCTTCCCTTGAACTATTTATTAAAATAACCGTCAAGTTCGTGTCTACAGTTTTAAAAAATTGCTAAATAAACATAGGAAAAATTGAATTAACTAAAATGAAAGTAATGAGATAGTTGCCAATAAATATAAGAAAACATCAACGTTGTATGTTATATGACTGAATGATGATATTTGAAATTTACTCATTTTATCAATATAGATAATCAATGGTACAATTCTCCTATTGTTTTTTTCCAAGAGAAAAATACCTAAGGCATGTTTTATTTAATGATATTTTTATTGATTTGTTTATGTGAAAGTTTAATATATGATGATTATTAAAATAAAACAATTATCCGATATCTTGTGTTTAATGATTATTAATATTATCTGAATAAAACTAATCAAAAAAGCAAAAAATTTTATTAGAATCCGTCAATTTTTTATTAAAAACAGAAAAACAACGAAAGTTTTGCAATAAATTGTTAATGAAATTGTTTGATATTCTATAGAAGATATAACATTTATTTGTTCTATAGAGACATTTTACAATTATAAAAAGATTTCAAATAAAAAGGATAGGTTATTTCTTATTTAGTGTCAAATAAATATAAGTAAATTATTTAACTATGTTATGAAAGTAAGAGTCATATGAGTAAATAATGCTGCTGAATAACTAATGAAAGGTTGTTTTAGTTTATTTATATAATAAAAAATAAGATAATTTAATTCTTTACGAAATATATGAGAAGTTAACGAGTACACATAAAATGATGCCTAAAACAAAATACAAGCAAAAGAAATTCATTCAATTAGTTAAAAAAATAAATAAATTACAGCTGCATTTAAATATTGTAAAATAGTTAACATATTATAAATATAATTTCCCATAAATATTCTAAACGATGATTTTTGAATATATTGTGTTAAACCACTATAAAATAAATAAAATGTTATTGGTAATGATAATAGAACATTAACAATTAATTGTATAATTACCATTCGAAGTATAAACCATTCTTATTTTTTTCTTCCTTCTAATATAATCATAAGACTATTATGAATTTGATTATGGTAACGTTTTAAATTTCGAACTGTTAATAAACCAAATATAGTCATTAATAATGGCATTGAAAGACCATTTATTAATATTGAATATGTACCTGATGGATTTGAACCAATATGATTTGTTCCATTTAATGATATTTGTATATCATAATAAATTATATTATGAATACATACAATCATCCAAAATAAACATGTTAACAATATCATTTTTATTGCAATAGAACGAGATAAAAAACGATGTTGATTTGATATACTCATTATATATCTAAAATATTATTTTCATAAATAGTTTTATTTGAATAAAACAATAACTAGCTATAATATTTCTCTATCAATAGCAGCTAATAAAATATATGATCGAGGTAACATTAATAAAAATCCAACAGCAAAAAATCTTAATTTACAAATCCATGACCATGTTGATGATGAGTCAATATTAAAACCAATTTGAAGAAGTCTTAATAAAGTTACTATATTTAAATAAAGTGCAAAACCAATTGAAGCAAATCTTAAATAAAGTGAATATGGACTTGATCGAAGTTTTTTACTAACTGAGAAAACAATAACATTAAGAATAGATCCAATATTACCAACTAGAATTATAATTGGTATTAAAATACGAAATAATTCCTTTTGAAATTGATTAAACTCAGTTGTTATCCACATTGAGGCAAGTATTTCTAAATAATCTTTTCTAGCTTTTCTTCATCATTGATAAGAAGATTTTTCCAAAGCACAATATTTTTTTTCCTAAGACTCCAATTACAAACATGATTATTACTTTCTTAGTCTGTTTTTTAATGAATAACGATACAATTTCACTCTTATATTATACAAGAAAACAAATCAATATTAAATTTTTCTAGAAAAACAAAAACAATGATCTAACTAATTGAAAAGCACCAAAATAAACAAAACCTTCTATTTATATCAATATTGTACGATGAATAACACTAACTGTATAAAAACTAAATTGAGTAAATCAATTTTTTTCTTGACAAAAAACAAAAACCAAAACAAACGATGTAAAACCTTCTTGTTTAAGAATATTTTTAATAATTTTCAAAGAATGAGAAACTCCATCAACATCTCAATGCTAATCAAAAATAAAAATAAAATAAATCAATAAATATACAATATTTTGAATATTTACATGAGCAAGAATTATTCGAGTCTTAGCAATATCTTAATATTAAATTTATTAGATTTTTTATAAGATAAAAAAAAAAACAAAACAAAATGATAATAAACCATATGTCCTTGTTATAGATGTTGCTATACTACCAACTAAACATCTGCCCATAGTCCCTTGTTATGGACGATAGAGAATAGCCTTGTTTAGAACTTAAATATTCCTTTTAGTAGTTTGTTTTTTAAATAAACAAAAAAAAAACAAACTTTAAATAATTCCCAAAGTGGAAATTGAATAAGTGAAAAAGGAATATTCTCTTGATACAGTTGAAAAATAGCCTCGCACTGAAAACATTCGATTTTTGGAAAAAAATTTATTTGAAAATAAATCAAATCCTATTTCTTCAAAATTAGCAGCTAGGGTGTGGGTATGGGTGGGTGTGGGTATGGGTGGGTGTGGGTGTGGGTGGATGTGGGTGTGAGTGTGGGTGTGAGCATGGGTGTAGATATGCGTAATGGGGAGAATCGCACCCACACCCACCCACACCCACACCCACACCCTTTTCAAGCCATTTTCGCTTGATTTAGTTTGATCAATAAAGCCTAGTTATAAATTTTAGTCTCAGTTACTTTTTAAAACTGTTTTTTTTTAAATGTTTAGAACTGACTCTTTTATCTATCTTTGTAACTTTCGAACCAAACAGATGTTGTTTTTATATGAAAAACCGAAATTGTAATTATGTTCTTATAATTGTGGCCAGGCAAAAATCAAAGAGTTTTAGAAAACATTTGTTTTCTCGAACATCACAGTTACATTCAAAAAGTCAGACTTCATATTCAGATAGAGCATACTTGAACACATATAGCCGCATATGTTTTTCAGAGCATAAACTTGTTCAGTGGTCGAAAGTAAGTAAATAATCGAAATGAAATAGATTTTCTTATAATTGTGGTCATTACTGTAAATATGCTCGTCAACAATCAAAGATTCTACGTGATATACATTTATCACCAAAACCATGTGAACCTTCACCTGAATCACAACAAAAAAATTCAGAACAGCTGATACATTATTTACATGTTCTGAAGATGATTATTCACATAATACTCTACAAGACAATGGTGTGGCATGTGAATATGAGAGCGATGAATATGAATATAATACGAATCAATTCGACGAATTAGATCAGTATTTAATTATGCAAATTGATAAATCATCATTAACAAATAATCCAGTGGATTTTTGGAGGAGTCATACAAAACGATTTCCCGTATTTTGTAAATTAGCCAAACGAATTTATTCAATACCTTGCCGATATTGATATAACCCCTCCGCTGATCTTCCTTTCTTCTTTCCTCTTGATATTATCTCTATTGCCTTTTCATATATTCATCTCATTCTATTGTTCTTTCTTGTGTTCATCTCTCCATCTCTCTTGCTCTCTCCTATATAAGCGTGTGTTTTATGTGAAGTAGTAACATTCTGGCTATATGAAATAGCTCAATAAAGATCATTACCGAGGGTAGAGGTCAACTACTCAATCCAGTCTGTCGTTACATGGCAACTCTGGCAAAACGAAGTTGTTACAAATACCTGCGACATCATGTAATGTCGAACGTCAGTTTTCAAGTGCTGATTTGATAATTAATCAAAGACGAACCAATATCAATCAGAAACAAGTTGAAAATATTCTTTTAATACGACCATTAAAAAGAATGTAATCATCTTTCTTGTTGTAATATATAATTTGTTTTTGTTGTAATATATTGTTTATTTTTGTTGTGATATGTGGTTTCTTTTAATATGATATATAGTTCGTTTTGTTGTGATCTATAGATCATTTTTTGTGATTCATATTTTATTTTGCTATGATCTCTATTTGCTATGATCTATAGGTTTTTTTTTATTGTGATCTGAAGGCTTTGGAAAAATTATCTTTTTTTACGATGATTTCATTTCTTGAGGAAACTCTTCATTGTTTTTTTTTGCTAATGCTTAATTATCTTTTAGAGACATCTAGACTAATTGTAGCATTTTCTCGAAAGTACACAAACCAAATGTGAATACTTGATTTGAATATAATCACAAAGTTTTTATCGAATTGTTAGGTCTTTTATAATTCAAGCTCAATTCATAAGCCCCGCTCTGTCCTCATGGCAAGGTAGAGAAGAAAAAACTGCCCTGTGATGGTCTCTGGTGCTGATATTTCAGCGCAACATTCTATACCTGAATTTAATTTGTCTGATCCAACATCGTTGAAAGAATTCTCTGAAACATTCTGAGGCTTTCTTGTCACACACAATGGCTCTCGTCTTTTTATTCACCATAATTTTGTTGGTGCCTATTAAATTTTATCCTTCTGTTTCTCTCTCATTAGTCTATTCCTGTAACAAAGTTAGCAGAACTTATTTATTTATTTTGGCTTTATATGTCTAAGTTCTCTTTACATCGTAAATTGTCAATTGATTTCGTTATTCGTCATCATCTATCTTGTATCTCTTCGTTTTCTTTCTTTTTGGTATATTGTCAGACCTCAATGACTTATATTTTTAATAGCAGATTTGAAAGTGATTGATGCACTTTGGCTATATTTTCGGTCCAAAGTATTTTATTGGATGAATTTTTGTGAAGAGATCCCATTTTTTTCATCTACATTTGAGTTTGCTATATGGGATGACTAGGAAATTTTTCACAACCATTAAATGAATACATCGATTGATTTTTTATTTTAATACTTTTTTATCGCGTCGCTGTATTATATTTTTTATTATTGTATTTTTTAGTTTTCAATGCATGTTTTTATTGCTCATTTGCTCGTCAGTTGTGTCTAAATTTAATGTTTTAAATTTTTTTTCTAATAATAAATTGGTATCTGGTGAACATTAAAAAAGTATTTTTAAAACACAGCAGAAATATGAACGATTTTCATTTATTAATGCATAAAACTGAGTGAACTCCAGTCAAATGTACAACCAAAAACGGGCTATAACGTGAGAAGGCTATCCATTAGTTTAACCTGATCCCTTTCGTTACTTGGGGAACTATCTTCTCAGTGGTGTCTGTTAACAAAAAGTATTTTTGCTAGTAAAAAGAATGTACCAGAGTTGTTCCTTGTCTGGTATAATATAGAATAAATTAAAATCTTTTCGATTGATTCTTAGGGAAAAAAATAGAAATGGATGAATCCATGGGGTTTCTACCACTTTGTGGAAGAAGGGTATTCTGTGCCAATGTTCTGAAAGAAAGGTTTCTTTTCTTTTTGAATAGTCTAGTTAGATGTATCATAGTCGAAAACGGTCTAAGACAACAATTAAAACCTTTTTGGACATATAAAGTGTGGAATACCACATTGTTGTTTAGGAACACTCCACACCAATAAAGGGCAATCCATAATAACTGACGATAAATTGTTTACCATATTTTTCATAGTTTTTGTTGGCATAGAGAGCTAAAATTTTTATCACATGTCGATTTAATCAAGATCTTTTATTTCTGAAATTTTCAGTTCTCTAGCTAAAACTAATGGTGAAATACATCAAGTTTGCACTCAATTTTTCCAATAATTTAACGGTAAAAATATGCAAAAATCAAGTACGAAACTTCATGTATTTCAGTCTTGTCAATGTATTTCACCATTAGTTTTAGCTAGAGAACTGAAAATTTTAGAAGTAAAAGATCTTGATTAGATATAGATGTGATAAAAATTTCAGCTCTCTATGCCAACAAAAAGTATGAAAAATATGATTAACAATTTATTATAGGACACTCTATATATGTGTGGAGTGTTCCGAAAAAATGATTTGATTCTTCACACTTTATATGTCCAAAAAGGTTTTAGTTCTTGCGTCAGACCGTTTTCGACTATGATACATCTAACTAGACTATTCAAAGCGAAAAAAAACATTTTTTCCACAAAAGTGGTAGAAACCCCACGGATTCACCCAAATAGATGTCACCGGTGAGAAGTGCATCTGCTATTAATTAGAAGAAAGAAACGTCTTTTAATCCCTATGACAACATATCATTTTTTTTCTTCCTCATTTCTTCTCCTCTCCTTTTGGATTAGGTACTGATAGGACCTCATAGGCAGGGGTGCAGAATGTACCCGTCTGCGCCGACTCTGTGGGGGGAAAATTTGTTGATTTCTAGCGACATTTTGGGGAAATGGCTGGGGGAAATGAACTGTCGTGGGGGGAAATTTTTCGAAATCACGGCAGATTCTGCACCTCTGCTCATAGGAGTCGCCAGTCTTCTATTCGCAAATAAAAAAACCTCTGTTTTTCTATTACTATGATTTTCATGTGCTTCTGCATCATGATAAATTAAAAATACTGTGAAAGTTCAAACAAAAGAATTTGGATCAGTGGTTGATCACATTCATTGCATATTTGTTGCTCATTGAACATTTATGATTTTATTATTGAAAAATCCATGTTTACTCTTATGTGTATATACTTATTGCTGTTGATCGTAGAAAAGAAGGGATCTTAAAGTCATTTTGATCATAAATCTTATCTATCACAGTAACTTTTTTTTCTAAAGTGCAAATGGATCTAAAATAAAATCGTACACAATGATTGGCTAGCATATTAGTCGAAGACACATCATCGATACAGTCACCAAATTGTAGCAGACAACGATATAACGAGCAATTATCGACAGCGAATAAAGCATGTGACACATCGACTTTCTTCAATCGATCGCGTAGTTGCATTAATCAAGCGGACAGAAAGAAATAGAGAACAAAAGACGGTAATTTTGTTCTCTTCAATAATACTATGAATCGATGTGTTTACATAAACACACGTAGGTGATCGATCATGATAAAAAGAATCATCCATTTATGTGACATCATATTGGATAAGCGTATAATTGTAAATACGGCATAATGGAAGAGAATCTTGAAGAGCTTGTTGCAGCACTTGCTATCTCATTGCCATCGACAAATGTACTTTACAAGATTACATCAATTCTCGAAAAACAAACTTCTCGATCAATCATTTTGTTTGTCTTCGAATCATTAGAATCATTATGCATTATCGAACGTTGGACATGGCAAGTATTAAGTAAAGATTTTCGAGAATGGATCGATGAAAAGAGTTACATCGACCTATTTCATGCCCTTCATTCATTTAATATCAAACTGCTTTCGAATCATGATGAAATCCAATTCAATATAAAAACATCACTTTTAATTCCATCGAACACCAATTGGATCGATGGTGTACTCGATCAAATCGAATCAAGCAATGATACGTTTTTGACTATTGTCACTCTGTGGTTCGACGTCATCTCCTATTTAGCTCATGAATACTCTGAAATTAGAGATACATCCACTATTATATATATCAATAATCGATTTGGTCGTGACTTTTTGATGACAAATGAATACCAAATCTATTTGAAACAACTTCAACACCCACATTCATCACAAGTAATATTTACTCCTAAACAACTTTTCTATTTGAAAACGTGTTCATTTTCGCTACATGTCTATTTGTGTTCAAAATCACAACAATTTCCTTTTACTGGTGAACAAATTACTAAATTTCTCGCTGATGACTATTCACAAATGATTCTTATGCAAAGTTATATTGTGGACTCGTGGAGTAAAGAATTACTTTCTTGTATCGCACATCTCATTGCTCTCATTTGTTCTTGTTGTTGGTGGGGTGATGAAAAGCCAAAATATATAAAAATGTTTCTTTCACCTAACGACCTAATGTATGATCATATTTTGGCACTTATTCGTATTGTTAGTTATCGACCATTTCATCAATGTATCTCTGCGCAATGGTACAATGATGAAACTCTTCTTATTGACTCAATTTTAGTCTTTCTATTTGGCGCATTGGAGATACAAAATATGCGTTGTTTCATAAGTTCACAAACAAATTTATTTGCTACACTATTGGTCATAGCACAAACCTCACCATACGATAGAATATGTATTTGTGCCTATGGATTTCTAGCCGAAATTCTTACTGATGAACAAATGAAAGAGCTTAAAATTACTGAGAATATCAGCGGATTTTTTTTTAATATTCTTGAACAAGCGTGGAAAGATCCGACAAAAAGATGTAAAACAATTCCGATTCCGCATCTACTAAAAGGTATGTTTATCTCAGATAATTAATGTCAAATATCTTTTCAGCGGGAGCATTGAATTCCAAAGACGTTTTTATTTTGTTTGGAAGAGTACATAATTATATCAATTGATTGTTTTTTATATATGAAATAGGTTTCTTGAGTCTATCGAAGAATGATACTATTCAATCGACAACAGCTAATTCTAACAAAATATCACTACTAATCGAGCTATGTGATGAATATCCAATGACATTCGATATTCTTTGGGCTCTTTCGTTCAATTCATCTATTCAACAACAACTTCAATCTAATCAATTATTCATGATGAAATTAGCTCAAATCAAACACGGCTCTAACGATGAAAGTATGCGTAAGATTGTGAATGGCATTCTTTGGAATTTGAATTCGAATCGTGGAGAAGATGCCGTGTTGAAAAATCGTGATGATACAACATTCGATATAATGATTAGTTATTCACATAAAGACAAACAAATATGTAAACAATTATATGATGAACTCGTTCGAGCTGGTTATCGAGTATGGATCGATTTCGATCACATGCATGGCAATATTATGGATGCAATGGCACAAGCCATTGAACAATCTCGAATGATTATCATATGTATGAGTGAACATTATCGTCGAAGTAATTATTGTCGAGCCGAAGCACAATATGCATTTCAATGTCAATTAAAAATGGTGCCGGTCCTTTTGCAAAAATACTATAAGCCTGATGGTTGGCTTTCATTTCTCACTGCTCAATTACTTTATGTTGATTTTACTAAGCATGACTTTTCACGTGCAATTGCCATGTTAATGAACGAGCTCACCACAGCACATCTGTGCGATAATACTCCCACTGTGGTTATTCAGTCGAAAAGAGATAATTTAGAGTCATCCACTACTTTCTCGTTGCCGACTCAATCACAGTTACAGGCAGTGATATTTCCTGAAAAGGTACGCGATTGGACTAAGGCCCACGTACATCAATGGCTATTAGAGAACAATCTTTCATGCATGGCCAGTATTATGTCTGATATTGACGGTCTGAGTTTAATTTATCTAAGTCAATATATAATCAGTAATGAACCACAACAAATTTTGTCATTATTTCAACAAGATTCACTTCGACGTTTAAATCAAAGTGTGTCACTACTCGAATTGTCTCGTTTTCGTAGTTTAATCGACAGATATGATCTGGCATCGTTGGCATCTATCAAACCATCAATAAATGTAAATCATAATAAGACGGCCGATGATCATGCACGATTATGTCGCTTAATGTAGATCGTATGAATCGAACTATATCAATATGATATTCGTCGCATTTTCTTGAAAGATAATAATTCTCTAAATTATGAATATCTATTCATTTTAATATAAAAACGACACAATAAACTAGAGAAACATTTAAAAAAATAGTTATGTATTCTGATAATTGAAACACTAAATGATATTACGAAACAAATTGCTATTGTCTCTGTGATACTATCATTACAGTATGTGTTCTTGAATTAGTTTTAATGATAGAATAGAGTTCGAAGAGATCTAATTGTTTTATACTTTCGGAGATTTTTTCACATGCAATTTGATTGTTTTGAGTGAAAATTGGCGACGGTTTTTTTCAATAAAAATTGATATCGTCGTTGTAGACTTATTAGGTTATAAAACATTGCTCGAACATCCGCGCACAAATCTTCGGCGTTCCAAGGCGTTTTTATATAGAAGGATGACGAAAACGCATCTAAATGCACCAATCACTGTGTTTCACAAATGTGTTTAGAGAAAATGCATAGTTTCGGAACATATTCTTAGACTAAACGCATGCAAACGTATTTAAACTTTTATTATGAAACGCATTGGGACACACTCATATCATTCTACGTGTCTGTTCAAGTTCGATAGTGGAAAGAAGCTATATCTCTTCCACTAACGCTATTTCATTGGCAGAGCCGATAAACAGTTGAAAATATAGTTATGTAGTTTAGTTAGTGAGCATAAACACTTTAAAAAGGAAATTGTGTCTGTGCGAAAATGCGTTCACGAGTCCGGCGTGCTACATCTTCGTTGCAATAATATTGTGATTGAAGGAAATTATATTGTGTAATTATATTAATTTTAGAAGGTAGTAGCTAAAAGAAAAAAACTTGACTTTTCCAATTCATTTGGATGAACATATCAGCTTTCTATTAATTCATTTGAACAGGAATAAGAAGCCGAAGGATATTTCTATAAATGGTTCTTTATTATACATATTTTAAGTAGAATAATTTTTCACAAACATCTCTTTAAGTTTTCAATCGATAATGATTATCTTGTTTTTGTTATTTCTATGTGCAGCGATTCAGAATCATACACACTGATCTAAGTTTACAATAAGGACCTCATTAACCCTAGGAACCCCAAGCCTTTTCCTGCGATTTACTAGTAGTATTATAGTTTTCTATCGTGATTGTTTTCTTGTTGCATCAGTGTTTTGATGTAAATATGATATTGGCATATGCAGTTTGAATAAAAAAAACTATCAGAGCGCCTATTTCTTTTTATTTCGAACAAGTAATACAAAAGATACGTTTTACAGAATGCTCGTTACAAACAAACTCTGAACATTTACAACATTGATTAGACGTTTTCTTATCCTTAGAAAAATGGCAAACTGCGCATCGTTTTCGTTTGGATTGTGTAGAATTTTTATTTGCTTCTAGGCAAAGTAATATATCTCTTACAATGAGATATTGATATACGAAATAGAACTTGAAGGAGACTGTCCGCTTTTTATCAATAAAAGTCTTTATACGATATCACGTTCTTGTCAAGCAGAAAATATATAATAAAAAAATGAAATTCAATTCTATATCTGAACTTCCATGAATCATCTTGTATTCTAATTGGGTAGATCCGATCCATTCTAGATAAGCGTTTTATCTATGGATTGAGATTATCCAATTAAGAAAGAAGATGAGTCATTGAAGTCCTGGTATAGAACTGAATTCTCCTTTTGTTCTTGTTGTA